GACATTCTTGCTTATATTTCCAGCTAGTGAGATGAAACAAACCAAGTGCCGCGTGTCTTCACGTCCAATTCACGTGTGTGCGTCCGAAGTAATACATCTCGTGCGGTAATGAGTTTCTGTTTTCCTTATAGGAAAAAAGTCATCTCTTGCTACATCGAGAACTCTCTTGAAAGAAGTAGATCCAGTACTTCAGGTAAAGCTATATCCAAAAAAGCATCTTATTCATTGAATTCCGGGGGGTACCCCAGAAAAATTCACACGGGAGGCTCTGTGCGGAGGTCCATGCCTTCCTTTTATATGCCATTATCGACAGCAAGGGTACCCCTTTTGTATACCAGAATCCTGGTTTTAATGATGGCTATTTCTGTCATATTTTAGGACATAATCATCAAGAACAAATTTTCCTCGACCAGCCGAGGTGATTTAGCAGATTTATCCTTCCCGAAAATTTTACCTACCGAGGTCCAAACACTTCACTACAAACTTCCACAAGATGTCACTGACGTCAGCGCGGTGTCAACCATTCCTTCTAGATCTGTTTGTGAGGTTATGCTGGATACACTGAGAGATGGAAAGTACCAAGCAGTCTCCTGTTCTCTGGGTACTTATACCAATTCCTCGTTGGATACTCTGCTGAACATCCATTCGCTGAGGGATATTTCCCAACAAGTGAAGCAGGAGAAAACCTGGCTAACTAAAACACCACCATTACCAAACCATCAATGCGCCCTTCCAGGATTTCTGGACGTTTATCAGAAACTGCTCTTTGGTAATGCTGATGACAAAGTTGTCATCAATACAGGCATATTAACGTCCGACTTGGCCAACCTTACGTCAAACAGGTGGTTGAATATTGCGATGATAAACGGGTTTATAGATCTTCTGAATGCTCACCACCATAACACTATGACGGCGGTATTCATGCTCAATGATTTACTAATGCTAAAGGATGTCGACCTACAAAGACATGCAAGGTCCGTTATGCGAGGTAAACAAATAAAGGCAATCGTTTTCATCATTAATGTGGCTGGTGGCATTAAAAAAACGGATGTGGCCACACCTAACAAGCCCGGACGCCACTGGTCTCTGCTTTACATAGATGCAGTCGAGAACAAGTGGTTTTATTGCGACACCCTCGCGTGGCCCCCTCCAACTAACATAAATACCACTGTAAACGCCATACTGAATGTTTTGGCGATGGAGTTTCCTGTCTTCAGAAAACCAGCTCAAGGGCGATTTATTGCCCACAAACCAGAAGGTAACCACCGTGGCTCCCACCAATGTACCAATGGATGCTTCAAGAATGTACCTTTGCAGAGCTGCGGAAGCGTTTGTGGGGTGATTGTTGTTGTAATGGGGGCCATTAGTTCTCTTTATCCGACCCTCTGGAGAGCAGGTTTTCTTGATCCCAGAGCACCTGTTTCCAACGAATTTTTGTGGTTGAGAAATCCCACACTCCATTCATGCTTCCTCAGAAGGGTGCTCATTCACTGGATATGTTCCAAAGATATAGATCTGCAACTGCTTGGAATCCAGGGCACAAACCACGTATCACTACACGCAACCGTTCCGAGATCTACTGGGACAGCCCAGAAACCATTGCCAGTGACCGGCCAGAAACCAACACCAGTGACGGACCAGAAACCCCCACCTGTGACGGAACAGAAACCAGTAACAGGGACGAAGCAGAAACCACCACCAGTGACGGAACAGAAACCAGTAACAGGGACGAAGCAGAAACCACCACCAGTGACGGACCAGAAACCCCCACCTGTGACGGAACAGAAACCAGTAACAGGGACAAAGCAGAAACCACCACCAGTGACGGACCAGGAACCACCAGCTGTGACGGAACAGAAACCACCAACAGAGACAAAGCAGAAATCACCACCAGACACGGACAAGAAACCACCAACAGATACCAACCAGAAACCAACACATGTGACAGACCAGAAACCACCTCCAATGACGGGTAAGAAATCACTACCAGTGACGGACCAGAAACCACCAGTAAGGACGGACCAGACACTACCTCGGAAAGCCACGAAATCATCACGGGAAAAAAAACGAAAACAAGCACTTGAGACAGACCTGAAAAGAGAGACTGCAAAAAGATCAAGGCAGGCAATAGGCCTTAGTGTAGCCAAGTCACTAGGGAAAAAACCCACACCGAAAACACTAAAGAAAGAAAAACAGAATCAGGGGCAAAAAATTCAAGAAAAAAGGCAGGAACCAGCAGGACAGAGGGAGGGAAACAAGGAAGAGGAAATAGATAGGATAGGCCAGGAAACCAAATTACACCGGTGCCCTGAGTGTGACTACATTTGCCCCAAAGTCTCAAATATGAAACGGCACATGAAACGTAAGCACAATCTAAACAGCAACAATGTTACTTCGCAGAAAGGAAAATGTTTGTGTAATGAGTGTGATCGGCAGTTCTACCGAATTAAAGATCTGCGGGAACATCTCTCCTCTTCACATGGATTTATTTTTAAGACTGATGCGATCCATTTGCAAAATGTCAAAGGTAATAATGATGTTAAATATACGTTTAGTACGCGTGTTGGGATTGGTCAACATATTGATTTAGCCCGGAGTTAACCGTTACGATATTCAACGCCGATAAATATTTTTCCTGTTTGTGGTTTGGGGTGCTTTACATGATAAATTAGGAAAATGTCTGTACCGCGTAAATTGAAAGGTCTGGGCATTCTCTATCTTATCTTCAACATCATGATTTCCGACCTGCGCTATAAACCAGAGCAAACGAAAAGGGGTCTGTAACACTTACTTCCTGGAACTTGGTTGGGGGACAGATATATAAAGTCTGAACGGAAATTTTGTACTAATAAAAAATTGATATTTGTTACCCGCCCTTCGAAACCACTAGTTTATGTGATGAACGCACGAATCTTACTTTTCTGCTTCTAAATCGTTGGTAAGGTATATGAACCACGTAGGAATAGACAATAGTAATGAATGGTCATTAACTAACTACGTTTCTTTTCTTACAAGAATTCGAATCGTGGAAGGCGGAAGTTGAAGAAAACGAGGGCTGCTCTTTTGTCAAAGTCACCGGTGAGTTTACTTTATAAAAGAGGATAGCTGATTTATTAGAGGGAGAAGGTATTTTGTCCTTCGAATACAAATATGATATATGTGAAATCGTTTCTATTCACTTCAGGCTCCAAGAAACATCTTTCTACCGGACAGAAAGTGGAATATTTCCAGTGCAACAGAGGCGGTAGCTACAGACCACGTAGAAGCGGAAAGAGAAGACAAAAATCTCAAGGTAAATAAGCTTTGTAGAAAAGATTATTTCCCTACTAAGAAGAAGGAATATAACTTTTTTTCAGTTCGTAATGTAAAGAAGATTTGTGTAGTTGGTTATGATGTGAGAATCAGTTACTTTCACATCTTCCGGTTAAACTAAGCTGTGGTTTCGTTTTTTTGTTACATTTTATCTTGAACAGGAAGCTGTAAGATTGAAAAGAATTGCACATCAAGTATGCTTTTGAAGTACGAAGATGATGGTACAATAACTGTTGATGTTTGTTACACGCATTATGGTCACGAAATCGAGCTGCAACATGTATGGCTCTCTAAAACAAAGCGTCAAGAACTGGCAGCTAAAATGCAGCAAGGGGTCCCCAGAGACAGAATCCTGAATGACATCAGAGAGGGAGTAACAGAGGATCAATTTTTGCGAGAACACCTAGTAGAAAAAAAGGATCTATTCAACATTCAAAGAGCGTTTGGGCTTAAAGATTATCAGCGACACCAAAACGACTTAGACAGCGTCTTAGCCTGAATAACGGAATGGAATCAGTCACCTGACACCAACCCAATCCTGTTCCAAAAATTTCAGGGCTCATGTTTGAACGGATACGACCTGCCTAAGGAAGATATCGTTCTTGTGATACAAAGTCCATTCCAGAAAAGCATGCTTGAAAAATTTGGGGCAAATGGTGTGTGCTGTGACAGCACACATGGGACAAACGGGTACGACTTCCTTCTTACGACCCTGTTGGTAATAGACGAATATGGTGAAGGGTTCCCTGCTGCGTGGTGTATCTCGAATCACGAAGACTTTACTACAATGTGCACCTTTTTCCGCGAAATCAAGAAGAGCACTGGAACCATTAAAGCCTCGTGGTTCATGAGCGATGTCGCATCACAGTTCTACAATGCATGGGTGGGGGTAATGGATGACTGTCCCCGTCCTAAGAAACTACTTTGCACTTGGCACGTAGACAGGGCAGTCACTAAAGAGTTAAGAAAGAAAATCGGCGACCTTCAAACAGAGGTAGAAGTGTACAAGATGTTTCGAACCGTTCTTGAACAGACCAGTGAAACACTGTTTGAGGAGTCTTTACGAGGGTTCATTAGTCGTCTAAGTCTTTCTTCAAAGACTGCCTCCTTCAGAAAGTATTTTGAACAGGAATGGGTTTCCAGAAAACAAGAATGGGCATATTGCTTTAGAGTCGGCCTTGGTATTAATACAAATATGTTTGTAGAGGCCTTCCACAAGGTCTTCAAGTATCAATACTTGAAAGGCAAAAGCAACAAACGGTTAGACAATCTTCTTCTCAACCTTTTAAAATATGTACGAGATAAGACGTTTGATCGTCTGATCAAATTGACTAAGGGGAAAGTAACATCTCGACTAAGTGTGATACATGAAAGGCATCTTCGCAGCTTGACCCTCTCAACTGCCTCGGTTAAGGTGGAAGAAGACGATACTTGGGAAGTTCTTGGGGAAGACGGGATAAGCCGTTACAAAGTGTCAAAAATGATGAGCGCCTGTAAAGAGTCAAACTGCCAGCTTAAGTGCCCTGAGTGTCGAATCTGTGTACATCTTTATGTCTGCAATTGTCCGGACAGTTTGGTAACCAGCACTATTTGCAAGCACATCCATCTCGTCTGTAGATGCGAAAACTCGCAAGATGAATTTATTAACTCGCAGGGTTATAACGATGCAGCATGTGATAACGATGATATTCAATGGTCAAGGGGTGACAACAAGCATTTGGAAAAGTCTTCTGAGTTAAACTTCCTAAGAGAATGCTTAAGGCAAACGGCAAACAATGAAGGAACATCAGATAGGGAACTAAAGAAAAAGGCCCTCACAGCCAAGTTACTCTCCATTGTCACCGATGTTGAAGGGTGCGATAACGACAACGCGTTGCAACAGTTGGAGAGAAGCATTAATTCGGCAAACAGCCTGTTTATATCCATTCGAGACCATGGCAAGAAAAACCTTCCGAGTCCCCAAAACAAAGTTCCACATAACAAAAACATTGTACCACAAAAACGTTTCTTTTCTACGAAGAAAAAGACTAGAAAGATCAATGTAAGGCTTGCAAAACCGTCAAAAGAAGAAAAAATATTGATTACAGAGACCTGGAGAGAAGGCCAAGACCAAAATAAAACCAACGATTGCTTTACAAGGGAAGAGGTAAATGAAGACGGTAGGCGAAGGACCTTTTTGCTTTATAAAGATGTATAGTTTCTGTCAACGTATTTTGCTGGAGCATGAACCACTCTTCGTCTGTTCCCATATTCAACCCTAAGTGCTCCCTTTTTGTTAATCTTGTTTACGGACCAAAGAAATTGAATCATAGAAACTAGAAACTAAACAAATTGAACTATATTCCAGGAAACTCTTTTCAGTTCTGTTGACATAAGCCTGCACAACAGATGGTTTACCTTTCAATCAGGTTGGGTCCTCATGTTATCACCCATAATATATCCCTGTATATGCTACATATACCTAAATCCTATTTTATTATTCACTTTCCTTTACATACGTATGGTATTCAGTATATACCTATATGTTTTTCTAGAAATGCAAGAGATGATGGATTGGTTTTGCAAAGACAAAAGCCCAACAATCAGAGACCTTCAGCTTTCTGGGCGAAAACTCTGTATTAGCGACTTGCTCAGCCCATGCGAAGTAATGTCAATTCCAGGGGAAGCAGTAGACGCTGATTTGACCGTATTGGAAAGATTTTTCTCAGACGACGCATGGAACAAGCTTCTTATGTTGTGTAAGAGAATCAGCTTTAATTTCACCTACTTTTTACTGTCAAACTTAGAAAACCGTGAAAGCATGAAAATGTTCAGGAATGTTGATTGTGTACTGGCCAATCACAAAAAAGTTTAGGGCACGCGAGCAGAGCTCAAAACCACAAACTAATTACCAATGCTCTGCGCGGTTTCGTTATCTCGCGCCTTATTGGCTTATTTCTCTAAACACAATAACATTCCATAAATAATTCTGGTATTCACGGTTTTGTGAGTTTCATAGTAAATTTACAAGGTGATAATTACATCTGTTGTTAGGATCGTGATTGTGATAGTTCTGCAAAAATTATTACTACGAACGATATACAGAATATCAGTAAGACAAGCTGCGATGTGTGAACATATGTTGACAGGTGACGTAGCAATCTTTGTTTTGCAGTGAGCCAGTTGAAGGAGTCTTGGTCGTGTCATTTATGCCAGCAGTCGAGGTACATGGACATGATCCAGTGTGAGAGCTGTTTACATTGGTTTGATTGGTGAGGTCACTTCTTCAATAGACCGCTTTAGTTCGTTTGTTTTGTGCATAGCAGACAAAAAGACAAAAGGGAAATCACTTGGTGTGAATTGGGAAAAGAAAGCTTGCTAACTACCTCACTAAACTAGTTATTTCCGACTAGAAATACTTCCCAGATATTACATAAATATGTGCGATCTTTTTCAATTATTACAATTTATTTTAATAACCAAATTACACTCTCATCAAAACGAGGCTGAGAATAACCTCAATCTTGATCAAGATGGGTTCCAAAAGCTCTGCTTTGAAGAATATATTTTTTGTCAATTTGAGAATGTTTTTTTCTTGGGTTCAAAAATCTTTTTGGAGTGCAGAGGGCATCTGTGCACAAGGCAATCTTACAATGGCTAAATTTGAAAGGTTCGGCAAAAGGACGGCATCTTCTAACTTTCTATTTTCATTTATCTTAAATTCTTTTTTTGCTCAAGGGAATGTGCCAAAGTGCAGGAAGAGCCTGACGAATGGATTTGTACCACCTGTCTACCACCGAAGAAATTCTCAAAGAAAGAAAATTCCACATAGACGAGATAGACTAAAGTGTACAAAGGCTTTTTTATGTACAGGACCCCAGCAT